ATGAAGAAGCAAGTGTAAATCTTCCATATGTGTGTGTTACATTTCCAATTCCTCTCTAAAAAAATTGAATACCACTTAAAATCACCCTGTTAGTTAACTTAAAGCAACCTACAATTTGAAGTTTATAGTCCATTATTTATTATCATCTTCTGATAATCTTACATAGTGCCTTTGATTCTTCAGTCTTCAAAATAATTTAAATGCATTGTCTCTTTGTTGGTTAGTAAAGCTGGGGTTTAGCTCTAAGTGTGAGGGTCACTTAGTTCCTGGGGGTGTGAGCCTGCAATTTCCTGGATTTTAATCATCTTTCAAAACATGTCTTTCTCCTTGCTTCCCACCCTCCAAATCTGGCCTTCCCTTTCCCTCCCGAATCATCAGTTACCCCCATAGTATTCACATTCTCAGGCCAGAATATAATCCCTTTATTACAGAGAAGTTGTATACCTCATAAAACTGTGACTTCTGAAAACAAAGCCCTTCTTTAACAGGAGTCGTCTTTGGATGAACTGCTAACTAGTGTGGCATGTTTCTGAGGAACATTGTGTAATCCCAGTATTGGAGTTAATATGTTTTACAAGGTCTTGGCCACTAGAGGAATAGTAGTGTTAATGGTCCCTTATGGATGTGCATTTGTTGCTGTTGGGGACACTGTCTGCTATCGACCTTGGACATTCAGCTCAGGTTCCTCATTCTAACATCAGAGTGAGATAAAGGCGAATATTGCCCCCTCATGGAGTCCATAAAGCAATAGATATTTCATCGGCTAGCTTTCCTTTGCTATGAAAAGATTCCTCTCCTCAGACTTACACACTGAATAGTCAGAAAATCACTTCCTATTATGTATCTTAGTCATGTGAAAACCACAGTGGCAACATTTCAACCTCACTTTGCACATTAGTTAAACCTGAAACCTAAAGACGTTGGATGGTTTACTACAGCAAATGACAAAAAGGGATGGTAGGAGAATTTTGATTCCCACGTTGAATGAAGTATTACGATAGACTAGATAGACTAGCTTGGTCAAGGTTAGCATCTACATTTGTCCTTAGTAAGGATGTTTGTGGTTCCTGTGGGATTGTATTCAAGCAAAGTGCTTCCAAATGCTGTCTTTGCTACTGTGTTTGCACTCTATTGCCACCTAATGGTAAGCAGTGGTGGTAACACGTTAAAAGTTGTTTTTGCCTTTGGTTGACGCGGGTCAAATTCCTTCAGTGTTGATAAATCGTGGAAGGATATTCTGAGACCCACCGGGTAATTTGAAGTAGAAAATGATCTGCTTTTCCTACCATGCCCTTCCCTCTCCCTCATTCTTAAGTCTCAGAAGAAATGATCGTTAGCCACCAGTGTGTTAGGTCTGTGTGCATTTCTATTTTAACAGCTTAGGAATTTTTATCCCGCATAGCGTCTCAGCACAGCTGAGGTAAATATAGAACGGCACACACTTGCAGCATTTGGAGAGGCTGACACAAACTGAGTATAAGAAGGCAGCTTTCAGTTAACAGGTCGCCGTGACCATATAGGACATTCTGAGCAAGGATTATACTATGATTATATTTCCTCGGTGAATCTCTAGCATTCAATAAAATTCTGAAAATCTGATGATGCGTCATGCTATTTCCACATTCTAATCATTGAACTTTTTTCTTTTATTTTCTCTTTTTGGTGTCACTGTGTGTATTAACTGTATGAAAACAGCGGTTTCATTAAGAAATTTCTGTACATATTACATCCTTTGATTTTTCTTTTTTAATCATTGTAAAATGGATACAATGTAAAATGGACACAAAATAGGCAGGTTTTGAGCACATGCTATTTTTCACAGCCAGGAACAATCATAAAATGCTGCTTATAATGAAGCTGGTTGGAAATCTACCCTGGAATCTGGGATCAGCAGACTTCACACACCACTGCAGATGGGAGTTGAAGGCCAAGTATTTATTTATACTTCTCTCAATCTATCCCAGGAGAATCCGCTATATGTTAGAGACTTCTTTAAAAAGCATGTGTTGTTACTTTCAAAACAAATGTGGAAAAATCTCTGCAAGCATTACAAGCTGTTACTGGGTTCCCAAGTCATCTTTTCTCAGAAAACGCTAGTTGTAGTACATACCAGCCAGAATTAGCTGGCTGTAACTCCGATAACTAACAATCCCATGCTTATGCTGATTGGCTGTTTTCCCTCTGAGATTATGAAGGTGAAACACAATTCTGCATAAATCAAAAGAAAGGAGAACTTTCTGCCCTCAAACACATTTATAAGATGGAAATATTGGCAAGGTGACGCAGAACATGCCATCTTACCCATGGGAACTTATGGATGAGATCCATCAATTTTTATAAAACTAACTTAGTCTCTGTCTATCCCTGTCTGCTCTCTTTCCTCTACCCCCAAGTTTATGTGTCAGCTCTGGAAGGCTGTTCAGTAGAGACTTAAGGATCTCTACAACAAACTGACATTTCCCTCTCCCTATAGCAATACAAGTCTTCTTCGACAACAAAAGTAGGTCTGACTATGCAAAGCAATGAGCGCAAGATGCCTTACGTAGAAAACGCTATCTACATTTAGGAACACTAAAAATTAAGCCCGGAGAACTGGAAACGCAGAGCATAGCTGTGTGGCAGGCAGGCCAAAGCTAAATCAGGGTTCATTAACTTAGACATGGTGAAAGGAACCTTGAAGTATGCATAGATGGAAATCCCCGGATTCCTTGGCTGCCTTCCCCAGAGCTCAGGGTGCCATTTAGAAACCATCATTCTCAAGTTCTGCAGATGTTACAGGACTGAATAGTTAAAGGGGGGGGGCGTGCAACTGACCTCAAAGCTCGGTCAAACCTGTGAGGGAATTGTGAGCAGGCAGACTCCAGAGGGCCGCCTTACGGGGGGCAGTGTGGAGAGAATGTGGCATGTTACCGCCTGAGCAACAGAGTCTTTTTGAAATGGCTCGCAGCTGAAAACAAATCCATAGCAACTAAGAGACATTGGAGCTAACGTGACTGAAAGCAGGTCAGCTTGGCAGACCACAGGCAGCCCTTTAGCTCTCCACACTGAAAACAGTGACTGGAAAACAGCACTTGAATATGAAAATGAGACAGATGTGAACTCCTGTCTGTGTAGTGAAGCATCTATCTGAGAGTGCCATTTTGGAGTTGAGAAACTTGACACATACAATAGGGAAGCACACAGCCCATGGCTCCTCGATTGCTAGTCATTGAACCTCAGGGGACTCCTCCTCAGCCTCACTTTACTGCCCAGTCACAGCAAAGCCACCTAAGGAAGAGGCGGGGTGGCCAGGATGACCATTGCAGGTGGGGGTGTCCGACCCTACCCTGGTAACAGGTGTACTGAAGGGCCTCTTAGACATCACTGGGCTATGAGGCGGCTTGCCCGGGACAGATGTCTTGCTTTTTAAATCAGCCTAGAAAAGCCATAAAAGTGAGTTAGTTCTCAATTTCCTTATGTGGCCTGCGGGAGGAACCTTCTTGGTTGGCTGTTTTCCATGCACACACAGTATGCCAAGCTCATGACTTACTGGCACAGCAGGGGCAGGGTGGGGGGGGGTTGAACTGTCTGCACACAGCTGCTGTCTGCTCCATGCAGTTGCCACCCTCTGGGCTCAGCTGCCACTCTGGTAGGGGACTCATGAGCAGAGGGAAGCTGGCAGGGTAACGTGTCTGAATGTAATGTAGGTGGCTAAGAACACACGTCAGAAATATTATCTCCTTATTAGGGGAATGCTTAATAACCGCATCCAAAACACTCTTCAGGCCATCTGTTTTTGTATTCACCAAGTGGCAAGCAGTGATGAACCAGGTGAGATAAGAGAAGACTTGGCCTAATGACTATCAAGTTTTCTGGAAAGCTTTAGGTTTTTTAGAGGTAAAAATGTCCTAACGAACTTCCTAAGAAGAAAATGATTTTTTTTTCTGGTGAGGGTGGGGTACTGTGTATTGCCCGGCTCCAACTACTTTTAACATGCTCTCAAAGATCTTCACTATGACAGTGGACAGGAGAGTCTTGCCATGAGTTTGCTTTATTTTTCTTTCCAGGGCAGTCAGGACCTAGCAATGCAGGGTCTAGAATTTGACTGGAATTAAGATAACACTAGCAAGACTAAAAATACTTTTGAGTAAAAGACTGTAGCTCTAGCTTAGACTAAAATTTCATGGTCATTAGTGGTCACAGTCTTATTCTCTTGGGATGATATATGGTTATCATGGCTGTCTAAGGCTGTGGAAGAGGATGTTTGATGCTCCCCTGTGTCCATACCTGTTTTTGTCTTCACTCATGCATATGGTCATTGAGAATAGACCATTGTTTCTAAACTTCCTTTTACCTGGCTGTGTTCATGTGAGTTAAAGAATAGTTGATATGGGTTAATAAAAATGTTATTATAATGATTTTATAAATACTGTTCTATGCCTATCAGAACATTATTTTCTTTTGTGTCAATGCTTTCTTTCCTTGTAGTGAATGAGAGATCCAAGACCAAATCACAGCTTTTTATATTTACAAGCACAGATGTGTTCAGTCAACTTATACTCTTCTTATGAGAGTGAAATAGATTTACAGGGCTTAGGAAACTCAGTGGGGGGATTAATGTACAACAGTTGTTCCTAAATATGAGATAAATATAAGAGACAAAAGTTTGCTTTCCTGAAATTAGTCATTTCATATATATATTAAAATATTCTTTTAAATTAAAGTTATTGTGAATACTTCTAGTCATACATATTATTCTAGACACATTGATCCCAAAACACTATATGAAATGATCTTGGCTCTCATGGTAGAGATAAACCTCTTTAAATTTTAGTTTTTTCCTTGTTACTATAATGATGGGCTCAATATCTCTCTAGTTTGGAGAGGTAAGATTCTAGAGCAGTGGTTCTAAACCTGTGGGTCACAACCCCTTTGGGAGTTGCATATCAGCCTGAATATCAGATGTTTACATTACAATTCAGAACAGTAGTAAATACAGTTATGAAGTAGCAATAAAAATATTTAATGGTTGGGGGTCACCACCACATGAGGAAGTGTATTAAAGAGTTGCAACATTGGAAAGGTTGAGAACCACTGTATCAGAGATGGCTGCTTTGTGGTCAACACCAAAGAATCATCCTTGGTGTATCCTGTGGAAGACGGGGCTCCAGACAAGTAATGTTGAGGACCACCTGATCTTAGGCTCTGTGAACTGGCTGATGGGTGGCATCATGTCTACTGAGAAGTGGCTGGATTTGGCCATGCTGATAATGTTAAAAGTTAGCAGTCACAATTTGCATAACTTTTTAGAGCTTGTCAGACAACATGAATCTCAATGCATATGCCTGCTGAACATGCAGTAAATTGAGCCACACTCAAGATGCAGTTACCTTTGATTCTGGTGAACTTATCTCCTGTTGATGTGGGTATTTGGGGAGGAGAGGAGGTGAGGAGGCCTGGGTGGGCTGAAAGAGCTCACAGGCCAGGTCAGAGACAGAGGCCAGAGGAGAATAACGCGGAGGGGAGGGAAACAGACAGCTGGGGAAAGGCGTAGCAGTTCGATCTTCCGAAGCAAATGAAGGTGGCTTAAATGTTGAGGAAAGACAAGATGAAGGGACATGGTCTTAAGACAGTACCTTCCACAGCTAATAACTTGAAAATGTTGTGAAATATCTTGGGGGAAGTGGTATTAATGTATTTTTGCTTTGAAAGCACTGACCTAGCCTATTAAATTTTAATTTCAAAATTTCAGTGGGTATGATTTTAGGAGTGTGGATGGTCAGAGATAACAATGCCTGTGCCCCCCCCCATCATGAAGGCAACAAAGTACCTAAAATTCTGCAATGACATACAAATTGCCTATAAAGTTGGTTAAAATAAGGTAAACAGTCACACAGCTAAGGAGTTGGAATTTCTTGGAGTACAGAATGAACTGTCTGCTGAGCCAACCTCAGAAGGATGAATGCTATGCCTAGGATACTGTCTGAAACAGGCAGATAACACATCCTGCAAATGAAACCACATGTCTAATCACACCTTCAAGATGGTAATATTGAAGGGGAAATTTGATGTTTACACAACAGACTTAGCTGCACACTTGGCTTATGACAGTGAATTCTATCTATCCTTCAGCCGTGGTTTCCTTCCTACAAAGTTGTGGCTAGTTATTTGGAAACAGAGGAATCATGGAAGGAATTACTTGTGTAATACCACCAATACTTAATGTACTACAAGCTTTTCTTTTTATTTAAAAATTTCAGAATTTCTAGATAATTTTTACTTGCTCTTGAATTTAGACAATTCACATTTGAGAGATCAACTTATTTTTGAGAGAAAAGTTCATAAACTTAAGGTTCAGGTCATTACCTCCCTTTATTGATGGAAACTCCTGGCCAAGGTCCTATGTAAGACCAAGTTTCAGGACCCAGGACTATAAGTAGCTACCAATCTCAAGAAAACAACTATTTCAGTTGTGTGACACTTTATTTACTTCATTGTTGTTTTGAAGACTGCCGTGTGCCATCTTGGAATTAGTCAAACCTGTCTATCCATCAGCTTTTCACCTCTAAAGTGGGGATAACCATATTTCCTAGCTCTCTGAAAATTAAAAATGTTTGGCTCTGAGAATAGCCTGACACTAAGAGTTAATGACTAGCTATCATTATGAATATTAGAAACATGATAAGCTTCAGTACATAAAAGTTAAATTTATAGTGACAAAGGAGTAATGGAAGCGTAGAATTGTACTATACAAATCCCCATCATTTCAATGAACTATGTTGTCCTTGCATATTCCTTCCACCCTAGAATTTCCAATGCTTCTATTCTGCATGAGGAAGCCCGTTAAGGCATTGTCAGAAGTAGATATTTAGTAATATTAACTTTTCTGGCTAATTCCAAAACTGGTTAGTCCTCAGTAATTAGGCAAAATTAAATACCTCATTACTGGTTTTTGCTGCACTGATGTCTTCCTTGGGGGTCCTAGGATGTGTGTGAATGCCTAGTGAATATTTTAAGCAGTCAGGGTCCTTATCTTCTTCCTCCTTGATGTGCAGTTGTGACGTCACCTCTGCGCTGCTGTGGTCACACCATGTGACATCTTGCTCTTGAGATCCTGGCAGCCATCTTTGGCATGTAAGCCCCTCACAGATTTCCTCATCTTCCTCTCCAATGACAGGAAGAGTTATAGGCAAGGCACCCACATGGGTGCATGCAGAGGCCACAAATTTATCACCTGGGACTTCACGGATTTTGGAAGGGTTTGAAAAGCCCCCTCTCTTTTTATTCAAATCTGTAAGTTTTCTTTGAGTGTCCTCTGTGGAATCCTGGAGAGACATCGTATCACCACGCTGGGCCCCAGCTGAGGTGGTACTTGAGTGAGGAGAAGGTGACAGACAGTGGGGTGACTGGAGTGGTACAGATGCTGGAGCCAGTGACAGGGGGAGATGAGAGGGCTCCTCCTTAATTTCAAGGACGACCTGGTGTAGGATGTTTGGTTTGGCCTGGTCAGATGGCAAGGTTAAAGTACTAAACTTCTCTAATTCAACCAAGAAACTGTCGAGGAAAGAGGATGGTGTCGGGGCCAATTGGTTTGCTGGTGGACACCATTCTGTGAGGGATAGTGGCTCTCGGGCAGTTCCCTGGAGGGCTCCTTTCTCTGTGCCGGGCAGAGCATTGTATATGGGAAGACAGGTCTGTTCACTGGAAGCCGACTTATAAATGAGCAGGAGTTATGAAGTAAAACAAAGAAAATAACAACACGTGAAAATACAACAGAGAAATACAGGAGAGGTGGGGTGGTGAGCCTAATTTTAACAGACATAGATGGAAGATGCTTAGATGTCTACGCTGGGAGAAATTACTTGAGATTTAAATGCATGAAATCATTTAGACTAATTGTGTTAGTTAGTTTGTTTGTTTTTAGAGACAGGGTTTCTCTGTATTGCTTTGAAGCCTGTCCTGTAACTCGCTCTGTAGACTAGGCTGGCTTTGAACTCACAGAAATCTACCCGCCTCTGCCTCCCAATGCCGGGCCTATTTAGACTAATAGTAAACCTTACTTGAGCAACTAATCTCTGTTAGTTTGGAAGGTATCTTAAGCATCAAAGGAGGAGACAGAGCTTCCTAGAGATCAAGAGGGCAGACAATGGAACCCCAGGAGGCCCAATGTTAATCAACCTCTCTGAGACTGCATCGACTCTTATCTTTATTTCAGATATAGCTGGGCATTGTTAGCACAGAGAAGTATCAAGTAACTCAGCATTGTTTTAATCTCTGAATTTATTTACCGTTCTCCCTCCCTGGAGAGGTACTCACTCCTTTGATTTTTACAATTGTCTCATATACATGGCATAAAGTATTTTAGATTAGTATGCATGAACACATGTTTAAGGGAATAAGTGCTAAAAACATATTTCTTAATCCTAGAGTCCCCTGTGATCAGAATGAAGCCAATATTGCAGAATTAGATATGAGATGCTGATGCAAACTCATATTCTAAGCTTGATATTTTATGTAAGCATAAGAATATAATTTATGAGGCTGGATTTTATGAAGCCAAATATATATCATTCTTTATATTTGAATATTACTGATACAATTTGAATATTTAAAATAAAACAACAAATGCAAATTCAAAAGGAGTACTTCCGGAGGGGCTGCCAAGTAATTGATTTATCCTGCTCTCCCCTTGCTGGACAGGAGGAACAATGCTGCATGCTGTGCATACAAAGGCCATGAAAGAGGCTGTAGATGATCTTTAGTTTAGTGCTTTCTAGATAGCTGATTTTGCTTTATGAGGCAAACAGTCTTGCAGAAGAGGTTGCTGGAAATGCATGTTCTATTTGACTGTTCAGGATAATACTTCACACACGCAGCCTGTGCTCTTTTAGTCATGGGCTTTGCTATAGCTAAGTGCACAGTATTCCCCACTGAAAAGTTGACTTAATGTGTTCTATTGGAGGATAGAGCACTTATTTAAGTTTTAAGGGAAATATGATGGAATGTCACCATAAGGTGTCACAAATGACACCAAGTATGACACAACCATGTGTGCCTATTACATATGATTCAAGTCTGCTTAGCCATTGATCTGAAGTCATACTGTACATGTGTTTTGTGATGAGCTGATTGCCGTACTGGTCCTGTAGATGAAGTTTCATTTGATAGTCCCAAGGACTATCAAATTCTCTTACTGGCTAAAACTCGATTTTATACTTGTTGTTGCAAGATTTGATCTTAGTACTTAGATTTTGGAAATGAGTGAAACTGATAGTAACTCAAGGTGAATATCTTTTTTTCCTCATTTGGACAGAAATATTATGTGCACAATAAATCTCTAGGTTTCACTATCATCATTGTGACTATAGTCTCCATTGTGATCTGCTACTATTGACTTGACTGTCAATGCCCTTTGAGCCACCTCTATACATGTTAAAAGGCCAAAAGAGCAAATGCTTTAAAATGGACTTGATAAGACCAAAAGTCAAATTAAGTGTTAATTTTGATTAAGGAGTACTTACATCACAACACATACTTACAACACAAAATTAAAGTTATTCTTTTAAAATATAACTTATTTCTTTTTATTTCATTGCATTGGGGTTTTATTGTGTATGTCTGTGTGAGGGTGTCAGATCCCCTAGAACTGGATTTACAGACAGTTGAGAGTTGCCATGTGGGTGCTTGGAATTGAACTGACGTCCTCTGGAAGAGCAGCCAGTGCTCTTAACTGGTTATTTCATCTTAAAAATGGGGGAGATGGAGGGAGGGGAGAGGGAAGTGAGGGAGGACTGTGGTTGGTATGTAAAATGAATTAAATTAAATAAATAAAAAGGATTGGAATTGAATTCTATTGTGCCAAAATCAGAAATAAGCAAAGTATAGTTGAGTCTTTCTCAAAATAGAAATACATCAAGTTATGTAATTTGAATTTGACAGAGTGATTCAAAACTCATCAGCATTCCTTTTCTCTATTTGCACATATAGGTTAAAAAACAGGAGCTGTGTCTTGTTGCTGCTTTTGTATATCACTATTTCTTTTTCCTGACCAGGGCAACACTACAGGAATTTCCTTCATTAAGTCAGGATATCCATCATCGGATAGATAACCAGTGGAGATGAAACTAGAATTTCTTTCTAATTATGGATGAAAACTTTGATATACTTTTCTTTTGAAACAGAGGAAGACAATTAGTTACTAGTGTAACTAATACATTCCTCTATTAAAATTTGGTATTTGTACATTCCTTGATTCAAAATATGGTATTACAACAAAAAACATGAATGGCATTTAAAACATATTCAGAGCAAAGACCACAAACACTGACTTAAAATATTTGCTTGTCATTGTTAATTACAGCATATGGGAGAAGTTCTTCAGTGCTAAGAAAGCATTTGTAGATACATGCTGTTCTCTTCTGCATAAGTTTATTTAAAGGTTCGGTCACTTGAGAGTCATCTGACAGTTGTTTTATGAAAAATGAATGATGGGTAAAACTTATGCGTATTGATGAAGATTCTCCCCCCCCCATTACCAATAGAAACTACTGAAGGAAGTATGTTGATCTCTAATCTAAATGCTAAATTTTAGAACCTTCATAATCAAGATAGTGCAAACTGCTCAGTTATCCAGTGATAGAGACATTAGGGTAATTAATTACCCATGACTAGAACCCATTTTTTGAAAAGGATTAGAATGAATAATGCCAAATACTAAGACTTTTTTTTTACGAGACAGGGTTTCTCTGTATTGTTTTGGAGGCTGTCGGTCTACTAAGACTTTTTAAAGGAGGAAAATATCTCAACTGAGACAGATTCATAGGTAATTTATTTACTATACAGAATAGCTTAGGTCCCTGGAGACCCTGACTGAAAATTATCTTGACTTTATCCTTTCACAATGTTTAATGGTCTGGTTTTACACATCCTTGCCTTGATCTCAACTAAAATAGTTAACATTATATAACCCAATACATCCCTTTTCACATTGGGAGGCATTTGACAATATTTTGGAAATAATTCACTGGTGATTTAAAACTTTTATATTTTAATATAACTGTAAAGGTGAAAGAAGCCCATACATAAACCCCTAAAATAGCTTATAATTCAACAGAAAAATGAGGAAAAATATTTTGTGACTAAAGGAATTAGAAGGATAGTTTTAATCTGATGGACCAATTCAAGAGGGAAAGCCCTTTTCCAAATTGTATTGAGAAAGATAATCATTTTCAGCTGGTGAATTAGTGGAATTTTGGCCCTAAAGCTAATGAGAAAAAAACTGACTATTTTTAATAATGTATCATAATTTTGTGCAAAATTATAGACCTCAAATTAAAAATGTCTTATGCTATGTAGAAAATGCCTTAAGACTTTCATAGACTATTGCACACTTAATAATTACATAATGATACACAATTTAGGGGTAGATTTTTCTATGTGTAATGTATATACACCAAAATACAGAGATGTATCAAGAAATGCTGATAACATTTCCTTTCTCTTTATGCACTTAAACTTGAAAATGGAATTAGCAAAAATGAATACTAAGTCTTTATCCCAGAATCTACTTGAGGAAAATTAACTTAGATTTTCTGATCTGGAACTCATGAATATGGACATAATATGAGTTTGTTTCTTTTCAATGACATGCTGTTATGATGGTCCCCCAAATCACCCACTGATAACAATATCCTGAGAGCCCAAGTTCAGAGTTAACATGATAGAATGGCTGCTTACCTTATTGGAACTTAGGCTGTGAATTCTATCACTAGAGTAGCTGTGGGGTAGAGGAGGGTCAGGGTAATCGTCAGCACCTTTTGCGTTCTTCTTGATGACTTCTACATAGGAGACAGGGAAGATGCCTTGCCTGCTGCTTCCTGGAATTTTACCTTCATACCAGTTTTGATCGACTCTTTTTAGAAGAATAATCCTATCGCCCTGTAACAAGCATTGGGAAATGGTGTTATAAGTAGAGACACTTAGATTGTCAGCATGGATGCCTGTTAAACCTTCCATTCATGACATTAGAGTCCTAAGGATGCTTGGTTAATGGGAATGGGATTATACTGATAAAAAATAAAATGATCTGCGGAAGTTATTTCAAAAGGCAGATGTTGTGAGAGATGCCACCTCAATGAGAGTAGACTCATCTACCAGATCAATGTGATTTGGAGGAAGAAGGAAGTGTTTCTGAAATGGGTTGCAGCAGCCATCCCCTGGAAGCCATGAAGTGGAATGGCATACCGCTTTCCTTTAATTTGCATGTCCTGAGAATTGACAAAGAGTGAATAAAAAGCAAGGGGCAAAGATGGTGACCTAGAATAGCTGTGGAGTGGGCTAACATTCCCCTGCTCTCACCAGGACAGGCTAACACCAGCATCCATTCTGATTGATGAGTGGCTATGCCATTCAGGCCATTTGAATAGAAACGTTGACTTTTGCAATAGTAGGCATTTCTAATCACTATTATGCTTCCTGCAGTGGGCAGGCTAAAGCCAGATAACTTTATTTAACTCTTTACTCAAAACTACAAGGGGGGCAGAACAAAGTTAGCAAGCTGTTAATTAAAGAGCAAACCTAGAAGGTACAGCTAGAAGGACGTTCTAGAAAACAAGTTAATCTATCTTGTGTTCAGAATTGTACAGTCTGTGAAAAAACCCCAGTGAAGAACACAGCCAGGTCACCTTTCGCAGGGAGAGTTCCACATTTGTGTCTGCATTGAAGTTGTATTTGGCTATGGCTTCGCCAATCTCTCCAGGCTGGACCGGGGGTGGTGGTCTGGCAGGTTGTGCTTTTTCTGGAGGTGTTAGTTTCTGTAATGGAGAACAGTTACTGGTTCTTAGACTTGTGATGACCTTTGGAACAGCATCCTTCTGGAGGTGAGGAGAAAGGACGTACCTCTACGTATGAGATTGGAAAGATGCCCACTCTGCCGTAGTGTTCCCCCTCATACCAGTTCTGGTCGATTTTCCTGAGGATGTAGACAGTATCTCCTTTCTTAAATGATAGCTCCCTGGAAGAGACATGACCAATGGACTCTTTCTGTATGAGTAATAATCTCATGATTGACATTGCATAATTATCTGAGAAATTCACTCCCCACATGAAAGCATCTGCCAAGCCCAGTTAGATAAGGATTTTCCTTACAAATTTTTGGAAGTCACTTATGTAATCTTGGAAATGATTTTGAAGAGCAAGTATCTGGATCACACCCTGTATAAATTGCCTCCTGCAATGACATGATATTTGAAAGAGGGGACAGATTATTGTGACCTTGCTAGTCTATAGTCACATACAATGTTTATAATCTAATATTTTGGCTTGTAGCAGGAGCATTTCTAAACATCAAGTTAATATTTTTGAATGTGTATGGAAATTACAGGCAATTAATTTTAATATGAATATAGAACTTTTCTACTTAATATAGGCATGCATTAAGGATTCTGGATATATCCAGTAAAGAGAAAGTTATATTATTCTCTAGTTTTCAAAGCTCTGCCCCTCTTATGTCAGAGCTAGAGTCCCATTTTGATAAATTGGCTGTATTTTTATTGCGTTTAAAATACTGGCTACTGTGGACCTATTGGAAATGAGATGTCATCTCTTCTATCTAAAATTGAGACATTTTGTTGGGTGAGTTAGTTAGCTTTAGTTTTAGAATGATTAGTTTTGAGGTGTTAAATAATAAAGATAGCTTTCAATGCATATTTAATATATATCTTGTTCATATTATATCTTTTTTGCCACTTAAAGGGACTAAAACTGGCCTGTTATGCAGTTTCAGAGGTATTTGGGTGTGTGAGTCTTGAAAGTTACACAAGTTGCCCATCACCCTGATTTTTAGGTCAAATGCAGAGCTACATTGGAGGTGACGGGTGTTCTCTTTATACCTTCTGAGAAAAGAACAAGAGGAGGACCATTAAGTTATAATAAGACTAAGCTATTTAAGGATGAACAGACCCACTTTCTTTTTGGGCTTCTGTGGGGGTTGGCGAATCTACTTCCCCAAAAGCTCTCATGGAGTTCATTAGACAGACCACCTCATGTTTTCAGTGACAAGTGGAATGGTGCAGACAGAAAGGCGCCTTGGCCTTTCTCTCCACAACAACATGGGAGAGCAAGGTTCCCTGACTCTCCATCAGGGAACCCCAGAAGAGGATGGGGTCCATGGAAGAGGGGCGTGGCATGTGGGGCAATCTGAAGTCAGTGATGCCGCCATAGTCCTGGTCTCTTCTGTGATGCATGTCATCTTCTCTTTGAAGCTCATTTTATTTATTTTGCATTTATCTGAGTGTGCCGGTGTATGTGCACACACATAATACCATGTGTAGAGATCCGACAACAACTTGTAGGTATTGTTTCTTCCATTATAAGAAACTAGAGGATCAGGTTGGCAGTCTTGGTGTCAAGAACCTTTACCCACTGAGTCATCTCATTGATTCCAAATCTTGTGGGCTTTTTTACTTTTATCATTGATGTTTCAAAATACTTTTTTATGCATGTATACAGTGTATTTTGATCAAGCCAACCCCCGCTCCTTCCATTCTCCTGTCTACCATACCCTCCACCTTCCCTTTCAACTTCATGGAACGCCCTTTGAGCTTTAGGCAGATACCCT